AGATGGAAGAGGCTTCTTCCAAACTCCCAATTAGAAGATCCGGATTAACGACGCCCGTGGAGGTCTCTTGTTGCAAATGTTCTCCAGCCTGCCCAGCTGACCCGCCGCCTCGCACGCTTCCCACTCTTCCCCCCTCCACCCATCCATCTCCTCCTTTTCCTTCTAATTACAGCCTTACGAGCTCTCCACAGCATTAATATCAAGGGTAATTAGCGGCGGCAGGTCAGTGATGTGTGCGTCCATCGGTGCAGAGACCTGTGGTTGCTGTCTGTCCTGCGGAGCTGGCTGCCCCGTCAGCAGCACATTTTGGGGCCAGCAGATCTGCGTACGAAGCGTGCGTGTGCAGGTGACGAAGCGATGCTCCCCCGGGGCTGTTCTGGTTCCCAAAACCCTGCTTCTGCCGGGGTGGGGCTTGGAAAGGGACCTGACGGAGGCGGCGCTCAGATCCCAGCGAAATTCATTGCTGCTCTGGATTCCTTTCGATATTGCAGCCCCGGGCACTTGCTTGTGAGCTGCGATCCCAAAAAACAGAGCCCAGAGGTTGGGGAGCTGAACAATGAGCTTTCTGAAGCCAGCTGTGAACACCAAGTGCCTGCAGACCCCACCAGACCCCAACCCAACTCCTCGTGCCACCAAAAGAGGGGTGAAGGACACTTGATGAACCTTGCGCTTGCTGCGTTTGTCATTGCTAAAAGTTTGTGCTCAGGGAGCAATGCTCACAGCAGGGCTTCCAGAGAACTGTGGGGTCCCTGCTTGGAAGCCTCATACCCTCTAGTTAATAAGGTTTTTCCACGCTTCCCTGCTGGCTGCTCCTTCCCCTGGCAGGCTGGGTTTCCTGCCCCAATAACCCAGCCCATCCTCACCAAGCTCCTGCTACGCCAGCCGAGGCTCTGACTCCCAGCGCTCAACCTCCCACCTCGCCGCTTCCTGCTGCATTAATTCTTTCCAATGACAAAGGTACACATTCATTAAAACCCTATAATCCATCATGGAACATTCCTGCTTTTATTATGACAAAAAAAAAAAAAAAAGGCAATGTTTAACCCAGGCCTCCCGGTGTGCCTGTGCTGCACCAGGAGATGTTCCAAACGTATCGTGTGCATGGCCAAAGGAGGTGACAAAGGTCGATTTCTCCCACTCAGATGTTGACTCTGTGCCCTCCCGGCTCAGTTCCTGACATGTAAAAAGGCAAATTGCAGCCAGCCTGTTTATCAGCTGCAAATCACCTTCCCCAGGGATCTGGGTCCCCCTGGGTGGATGCTGCAGGTCCTGGGAGCACGATCATCTGCTGGTGAGCACATTCTGTTTGCTGAATACAGCTCAATTACCCCATGCGTGGTCTCCTGCATGGTTAAGATGCTGCAGCACCTCCAAGGAGACCTGGTGGTGGGCCTGGATTTATCTCCTGCAAGCCCATGGTGGTCAGGGGTTGTGTGCCTGCCCCGGAGCTGCTGGTGGGGCAGGTGGACCATGCAAGCAGGAGCCCGAGCGATGCTCCGTGCTCGTATCATAGCTCATAATTTTCTGCTTGATGCTGTTTGCTCCTTCTCGTGGTGGTGTCTCTGGAGGAGTCCTTTCCAGCCAGTGAGAACTTTCTGAGCAGTGTGAAAATCCTCCTGGGCTGATGCATGCACGCAAGCGAATGTATGCACATTAAACATCCCGAAGCCAGGGCGAAACCCGATAGAGAGGCGTGGTGCACTCAGATGTTTGACTACAGAGCCTGAATCAACCAAATAACTCTGGAATGTCGGAGAGGAATGGAAAACAAAACAAAACAAAACACAACGAAACCCACCTAAAACTTTGTTTGCATAACAGGAAAAGCACGGCCCCGGGCTCCGTCCACCTCTGTGGAAAATCCTCCTCTCTGGGATCCTGCCTCGTTCCTGCCCGCACCGGGATGTAAATGCAAGTGCTGCCCGTGGGGAATATCCTGCAAACGTAACCCCGGCTTCCCCGCGGCGAGCTGCACGTTGAGACAAGCACCGCTGCCGCCGGATCGACGCCTCCTCGGAGCTGCCTGGTGGAAAGAGCCCTCTTCGGAAAAAGTTGATTAATACAGAGCTTTTTGGAACGGGAACCTGATTGCTGCAGTCCTGGAAATGCTTTGAAAAATTCTGGCTTTCAGCCTCCTTGATTTTATATTGAATTATGTGCTCAGGTCATCGGGGACGTTTAAAAAGCTCATCCCGAAGGGCTCCGTGCTGCTCTCGTCCCAGGGATGATTTGGGGTGCATGAGCGGAGGAGTGAGAGTCGCTTCCTTGCCTCCTGGTGTGGCTGCCAGCTGGAGTCACGGCTTGTCCCAGCCCAACCATCCCCAGCCGCATGAGAAACACTATCAGCGCTATTAAAATATTAGAGCAGAGCCAGAAATGTTTGAAAAACCTGTTACAGCACTACGCTCGGCGCTTTCACGCAGCGTTAGGAACAGGCGCTCTCTGTTCCCAGCACAACCTGCATCGTTATTTTGGGCTTTGTGGCAGTTTGCAGTGGCCGGGTACGTGCCCAAACATAGGGTTGATGGCAGAGGCAGTGGGATCCTCTGCGGGTCCTTCCCTGGTCCCCGTGGCTCAGGTTTTGGGCTGGGATTTATGCATTGAAGTCTGAGCATTGATGGGGAGGAGACTGCTGCTTTTTGGTGTGGAGTTTTGGCATTTTATTTTATTTGTGCCACTCCAGCCCAGCTTCAGCTCATCCTCCTGAAATCTGGGGGCTGAGAACACCACGCTCTGACACCCACCACACACAGACACCCCGAAAGCCCCCAGTTTCTCAGAGCTGCTGCTTCCCCGAGCATTTTGGTGCACGTGAAGCCCAAAGCAGTGCCTGACATCCCTGGCTCCGTGTCCACAACCTCATGACATCCACCAACGATCAGATCCAACTCAGGCAGACTCAGCCTCTCCTCCTTCTCCGCTGCCAAACGGAGGCTGACAGTAACGAGGGCTGCAAAGACGATGGCGTTTAACCCACCTAATTAACAGCTTTAGCTGGAAGAAGCCTGGAGGGAGAGTGGTGGCTCTGGGGAGCTTTTCTTGTGGCCGCCCTGTGCCGGGACACAACGCTGGATTTGCAAGCAGCTCACCCCGGAGCCCTCTCCGTATGTGTGCATTTGCTCGTCGAGGTCTTTTGTGTGTCTCCTGTGTGTCTCCTCGTGCACGGTGAGGCTCCTTCCACAAAGGAACCAGTCTGCTGGTGCGACAAGCATAATGTTTTTGCTCGAGAGCAAATATTTGCAAAATACAGCCAAAACGGCTCAACAATGGAGCTGTGACTCACTCGGTACCTATTGAGGCTCACGAGGAATAATTGCTGCATGGCGCTGAGTTCGTGGTTCAAAAGCAGATGTCTTGGTTTTTGCTGAAGGGAGAGTATTTGGGAATGGATTTATCTATACCCTGTTAGTCTGCATGGGGATATTTGATGGCCTCTTTTCACTACTAACAGCAGAAATGGAGCAGAGCATCTCCACCCAATGCTTCTGAAAAGTGCCTTAAACCACTTTGATGCTGGGCGCTCCTCTGCCTGCCTCTGGGGGAGGTGTGCAGCCGACGGGTGCAGCCTCCGCAGGGAAAGTCGCGTGGAGCCAAATTATTTTTATTCCACGCTCACCTGCTTTTTAATTAAACGGGGAGCCCGTGGCCTCAGTCCCTTGCTGGAGAGCTTGGGGTGGTGGTTGAGTAGGGGAGTGGTTTTCCAGCCTTTAATGCTTGTGAGGAAGAGAGATGGGAACCTTAAAATGCGATGGAGCAAATGCACCTCCCCGTGGGCTTCGGCTCCTGCTTGCAAAAGGATCTTTGGGTGTGTGGGCTGGTGAGGACCGAGTATTTCCCAGCTGGAAGAGATCTGTGGGTGGCTGGGAGGGTTGGGAACACTGGTGGCTCATAGCTCTTCCTTACCGTGCCTCTGGGGTACAGAAAAGCAGGGAAACGCGTCCTCTGTAGGTGGGTCTCTGCTTCTTTCTGTGCTAAAGCAAAGGGAAGAGGGAGATGGGATCCTCGTGGTGAAGGCAGACCTCAGAGCACGTCGGAGTGGTGAAATCTCCTGGCTTCGGATCTGACAGGGAGATGTTTGCTGGAAGAGCAGAACAGACCTAGCGTGCAACCACTTAGAGCAGGTTAACAGGCACCGTCAGCCTTTGGCTTATTTAATCCTTCAGTCTGGCTTGGCTCATGTTCGCTAATTTGAGATGGCTTTTAAATATAGAGCTCCTTCTTCCCCGTCTGTACCAGCTGGAAACACAGTTTTAAAAGCCAGAGGATGGGCTTGTCCCCATCTCACCCTCTGGTCTCCTGCTGGAAAGGTCCCTGGTCCTCGCACCAGGGTACAGACTGGCATCGTGTCAAAAAGGTCTCCCAAAATGCTGTTAGCTCCTGTGCCAGGCTGTCCCGAAAGGCCAGGTGGGTTTGGATCTGGAGGTTATACTTGGATCAATCTCTGCTTTAGGTTGAACTCCTGGTTTTAGGTCAGATTATTCCGAAATTTGGGTGGGTATTTCTGACTCTGGCTTATTTCCAGTTCCGGAGAAGAACAAAGACTTCGAGCTGACGTCCACTGAAATATTTGATGAAACTTTGAATTTTCTTGATACCAAGCTGACTGGTGGATGGATGATCTTCCAGCAGGTCTGAGCCCTGTTCTGTTCTCCTTTACACCCGTGTAAAGCTGAAATCAAGCCAAGGGCAGGCCTGTGGGCACAGGACCCTCACCAGGGATGTGATTTGGCAAGCTGCGAATGGGCAGCACACCCATCCCATCCTGGGGAGTGAGCAATGTTGGGCTCAACACACTCCAGCTGCAGCTGTAATTGCATTAGACACCTCTTGCAGGCACTTACATCGTCACCTGGGTGCCTCGTTTGCCACTGACAAACAAAATTCCTTCTTCCCAAGTCCTGAGGGGGGCTTGAGCTGAGGGCTAATTGACTCCACTCCAGAAAGACACTTTTACGACACATTTTTTTGGCTATAAAGCCAGTCTAAAATAACGGCAGTCGTGAAAGGATATGACCTAAACTATAAAATGCACTTATTAGAGTTGTATGATAAATCAGGGAAGGACTCGCTCGCCTCCTCTGAAGGAACTGCATGCAGCTGGACAGGGAATCGAGCGGGCAGATTGATTTCTGGTGTGCAGCACGCTCCCAGCCAGGGTGAGGAATTAGCACAGGTCAAATTGCTCACAAACCTCTGTCAAGGAATATATATAAGCCTTGCCTGAATGTCAGGCTGGAGGAAAGAAAACCAGAGCTCTGTGGTCCTGCTATGTCCCAGCACGGGTGATTTCATCGGTTATATCACTCTCCTCGCTCCTGAATCTGGATGCTGAGTTTTTGGCCACGTAATGGGTCCCCAGCAAGATGCCCTGCTGCGGAGTTAGGTACCCCAGCCCCAAAAAGTCAAGGTCAGTAGCTTAATTTCCACCTGTACCTCCAATATTGATGCTGGTGGTGCTAACAGCCTTCTTGCTGCTGGAGTCACCGCACCAGCAGGAGGAGGAGGAAAAAAATAAGTTTTCATTATGTTTTTTTTTTTTTTTTTTTGGCCCCAAATGCGTCCTCATTCTTCAAATGCTTGGGAGTCTTTTTTAACCCACTCAAATGATTTATTCTTCTGCAAAAGGTCTGGCTGGAGGGGAGGCGCAGATTAACTTTCAGCAGCAGAGATGGGGAGCAAAGCAAAAATGCTGCCGAGGAGCTGCGGGATGCTACAGCCCCTGCAACGGGGTGATGGGGAGGGATGGAGCCAACACAGTTTGTTCATGGCAGGGTTTTCTCCCAGCCCAGTTCCCAGAATACCAAACCAGCACTGAAATGACCCCATCAGGGCTCGTGCCAGGGCGGGCTGAAGGGCAGGAGCTGCCTCCCCTCCCTTCCACGCCTCGTGGCACCGAGATGCTCAGCTCTGAGCCACCGAGTAATTTTCTTTCGGGTAATGCAATAGCGCATGGAAGAGCCTATTATTTGCCAGCAGCGAGAGACTCAGCGAGCACTAATTGGACAAACGAGGCTCCGGGGATTTACAGATGAAGCAGATGAATATGCAATTGGGGAGAAAAGGCAAACAAGGCTCTGAGCCACCCTGACGGGCACCTGGGATGGTGCCGTGCTCCTCAAAGCGCAGCGGCACGTGGAGAGCTCTCTGGCCAGAGAGCCCTGCCTGCCCGTGAGTCCTCTCCCACTGCTGCTTCCAGAGCAAATTGCTCTGCTTCACTGGGAAGCAGGAGGAAAGGAGGAAAAAAGGGAAAGAGCAGGAAAGCCAAGATGGTAAATTAAGATATATTTTTTTAAGTTTCCTTTTCACCTCCAAATATTCCCTATAAAGACCATTCTCAGCTAAGCTTGGCTCCAGCAGGGCTTTCCGAATCTTGTCCTTGCAGCTGTGGGACATGAGCCCAGGCTGCTCGTCCTGGACCTTAGGGAGCCCAGCCACCAATTTGTGACACAGCCGTGCGTGGGGCTGCTTTTACAGCTCAGGGGAGGCTGACGGTGGCATCTCCTGCTCTGTGCCATAGCCTGACCCCCTTGGGATTACCAATAAGCACGACACGTGGCAGCGGGATGGCTTAAAAACATTGCATTTTGACCACTTCCACCCATAAATGTTCACCACTTCACTTTCTCTTCCTTTACCCAGTGCCCTATCCAGCAGCCCTGTAACAATTTGCCATGAAAACACAGCACATCCTCCAGCCACAAAGTCTCCGGGCACAAGGTCTGTTGTTCTCCACGACTGGGTCTGGCTCCGTGACCGGGGCACGAAGCTACGACCATAAAATGAATAACAACACGCTGCATTCAATCGTCATCGTTGGGGGGCTCAATGCTCCTGCACACGGACGCAATACCACGAGTGCCCCCGCGACTGAAGGCCAAGAAATGACTGATCGTGCCACGTAAGTTATGGCGAGCCCTCCTCGTAGGGAAAAGTGCTCCTTGCTGGAGTTTGGGTGATAAATCACTGCATTTTCCTGTAGTGCATTAGCACTTGATCTCCGAGGTCGGGCCCGAGAATAACCTTCTCGCTCTAATTGACATGCAAAGCTACTGCTGTGTATTAATTTGGAGGGGGGGGGCTGAACTTTGAGCGTCAGCGCTGAGATCAGAAAAATGGAGAGTGGTAAATCTGCAGTGAACCGCCTGGGTATTTATAGGCCTTCACATAGCGAAATGTTTATTTAAAAAAAAATAAATGCTGCAGTCCATGGGCTGGTCTGGCTTTCTGCCAGTGGCCCGGGTCAGAAAGTGCACAGCCTCGTCTGGCAGAAGGAGGAAATATGGCATGGCTTTCGCCACCCGGAGAGCCTGCAGGGGTGGGAGAGGAGGCTGCTGTCCGTGTTTTTGTGGCTTTGAAAATGAAGGGGTCGGTCTCGTTGGGAGAGCTATCAGGGAGGAGTGGAAATGCTGAGGCTGGAGCCGCGTCGGGTGGTGGATGGGTGACCCCAATGCTCTCCACTTTCCTACAGGCCATAAAGCAGAAATTAGCCAGGAGAGACTGCTTCTAAAATCTGAAAAACAGCATCTAATAGGCTCTTTTTCTTCTGTTTGTGCATCCAGTTGATGTTTTCCTGCTTCCCTCTGCAGCCGTGATGGCCAGAAGTGTGCCAAGGGAAGAAGATGGCCTCTGGATGGCGCAGCTCCCAGTGGACTGCCACATGAGTGTCCCTGCAGTTTTGGGAAGCAACTCCTTGATTTTGGGGTCTGGCAGGGCTGAAGGTGCTGGGGACCAAAGAAAAGCACCCAAAGCAGTGAGAGACTGTGTCGCTGATACCTTCTGCTTCTCACGGAGCTGCCAGTTAATCCAAAGTGCAAAACATCTAGCCAAAGGTGAGATGACTCCACACAGCGCAAAGAAATGATGCAATCACCCCTTTCCTGCAGTCTGCCTTCTTCGAAATTACTTTAAGTCTTGTAAAGAAAAGCCTTCCAGGTCCTCTATGAGCTATAAACCTCAGGAACTGTCTGGCTTCATTTCTGCATAACTGCGAGGAGCTCCGCATCAGGTCTTCCAGGGTAATGGGAGAAGGCAATGCGAGGAAAACACAATGGGAAAGGCTGATGTAAACATAGCTGTATCTTCCTGCACGTCTCTATAGTTAACACTCTCGTTAATTATCTCGGTATCCAAGGGCTTATGAATTCAAACTATTATTTCCTTTGTGTACATTTCTTGGGAGGAGGGCAGCGACTAATTGATGCAGGCTCGCAGGGGGGTGAGTCCATGAGAGCAGCTACTGCAGTGAGGATGGACAGAGCAGTGACCTTCAGCACTGGGATCTGTTTCAGCCAGAAATCTGGGTCATTTTCACCCTTTTTTTTGAGAGTGGGAATATGCTAGATTTGGTTTTGAGAAAGGGATGTCATGGGTCCCCTGGTAGCCTTCAGAAATGCCTTTTCCATCCAAGACATCTGCGTATGTCCGAGAGCTGAAGCGTGGCTGTCTGCTTGACCTATTTTTCTATTTTTGACCTATTTTGCTACTTTTCTCACCCGAGTCACGTGCCGCTCTGCTCACACTGGGTGTGAGACGCATCGCGAGCCACTGCACAGAGTCAGGACTGCGCCGTGCTGCAAACACCCCCGGCGTGCTTCTCCCCACGTTCCCCCCATTATAATTAAAACACAGGGCTTGATTGCATCCTGGTAACACGTGGCACTCTCGCAGCCTGCTCGTGGTGGTGAACAAGAGAGCTGCGGGTCGTTTCTCCTGCCAGGCTGGAGAAAAAGCAGCCTGGCTGCCTCTCCCTGCGGTACAGCATGCGCATCAGCAGGCTGCTGGATGATGGCGGTGATGATGACAATGATTATTTTGATTATTGCTGTTATTATCAGTGCTGTTATTGCTATTGCTATCAATTATAGTGTTCCCGACCTCGAGACGGGGTGCACCCGAGGTGAGCCTGAGCACAAAGGGGCTGCAGCAGCGCTGAGCAGATGCTGGGGCTGGGGAGGACGCGTGGGGCTGTGGCTTTGCCTTGGAGCCACGGGACAGTGCCGTGCCTCAGAGTATGATGGATGAGCCCTGGCTGCAGGGTGCTGGCCTTTGGTGATGCCCTGAGTGTGACATTTCAGGGTGACTTGCTCCATTTTCCTATTTTGAATATGTCCCCATGTTCAGCCCTGGTCTGGCCCACATTTAATTTTTAAGGTGATGCTGCAGCAAAGGCATCTCTTTAGATACTCCCCGATCCCAGCCATGCCCCAGGGATGGGCATTTCCTGACCCAAAATTCCAGGTTGTGGTGAACCTGTGCAGTGTGGCTTTGTCATTATTTGATGTGCATGAAGAGCAAGGGCTGTGAGTGAGGACTGCATTGCCTTCACGTCGTGCATCCTGCCGGGACATGACAGAGCATCTGAGAAGACTCTCTTTAATTAAAACGCCAGCAACTGGAATTTCTGGAGAAACATCAGAGGTCCTTGCAAATAAATTCTCCCGGTATCCCATGTTTCACACTCTCAAACCTTTTGCATGTTGTTTATTTTTTCTGGTTAACCTTTTGTTTAGTCCATGTAATTTTGGAGCTGATTTCAGGGGAATACTTATGGGCCAAGCGTGTTCGTAGTTATGACTGGCTTACTTACAAATTACCCTTTAATCAACAGATTTAATATTAATTAATAATTCATAGGCTGCTCGTAGGATAAAATTGCATAATAATGTCTTTGATGCAGCCCAAAGTGTCCATTGTAGATGGCATAAAATGTTAATTAGCAGCAAAATGCAGTTAGGAGAAAACTCTTTTAATTATGTAATAGGCCTCATTACAATGGGTAATCAACAATGCTTCCAAATTAGCCCACTGGCAGCATTTATCTATATATAGCAAATAAACTTTTGTTTGCAGAAAATGCATTTGAATAGTCGGCTTCTTAATTGCTTTCAGGCTGCTTTTAAGTCATTGCAATCCCTCCTGACAGCCTGAAAAGGACCACTCTTCTCAGCTGAATGGGCCATATGTAAAGCTTAGAGAATAATGGGGAAAATTGTTCACAAATATTTGTTCAGATATGCAAGCAAATTTCAATTTGACCTTTCGTAGGACCCTCATCTGAATACCGGAGCGTTTTGCTGACGGCAGTGCCCAGAGAAAAAATGTAAAGCATCGGTGCATGAATATCCCTCGAATTTCACATTGTACATTAGGTCGCACGACTCACACTGGCTGCTTTGTTGATCACTTGCATAAATTACCCCGTCTGGTGACTAAAAACCAGGTCGTGTGGCCAATACTGAACCAAAAGTGTGCACGAGAGATGTTTGGAAGTGGTTTTTGAATCCATCTTTCTTTGAGAAGGAAGACGGGAAGGAGCTCAAGAATCAGGAGCCTTGGTGCTAATCGCCCTCCCCAGCTGCCTCATGTAGGTCAGAGCCTATTGAAAGGAGACAAATCACCCAAAGTCAAAACCTCTTCTCAATCCATGCCTAGAAGCATATTGTTGTTCCTGCCTTGATTTTGAGAGGCATCCAGGCTCCTTCAGGGGGGCTGCAATCCTCATTTCTCTCCAATCTCAGCCAAATCTAGGACGTAACGAGCCTGTATATACAGATGTGCTCCAGCTGGATCCAGCTCAGACCTTTTGGGCAGGGATGATGGATTTGTAATGTCGATTCCCCTGTCCAGCCCAGCCAGCCTTCATCTCTCACCACAAGTAATTAGCGGTGGTAATAAGAGCCTGCAGTCAGTTGCTAAGCAGTACTTATGGCTGCTGATCTTCCTCGGGTGGATGGCACGAATCCTTGGGATCCGATGACCTTTACTTGTTCTCTGTGGTCCTGCTTGTAATTCTCCTTTTAATGCTGTACGATACCGATAGCCCAAGTTTATCCATATTGTCGAACAGACGGACACTCTATTATTAGATTTGTTCTTGCAGACACCTAAGCTATACTGGCTGAATGTAATTTATAGCCTCGAAAATCTGCGGACACAGATTTCTGCCTCCTTCAGTGTCTGGTCATTTCTATTCATTTCATCTCTGGAATCTAATGTAATAAAATTGTAAAAGGCTCTAACTCCTCAGCATTTAATCAGCTTAGTATGCGAGAATTACAGCAGCAGCCCTTAGGTGTACTTTATCCTGCAAAGGAAATCTCACATTAGGAGACAATCTCATTATTTTGACTACTAAGGATTGCATGAATTTCTTAAGAGCCACCAAGAATATGGAAGAGTTTAGGTGGGCTATGGCTTTATTTGTAGTAGACAAAGAGCAGGAGGAGGTTGCTTTGCCAGCAAGGCCAGCTGGAGGTACAGCCTGGCCCAAATCTGGCCATGGGTTGCTTAATTCCGTGTGTTGGCTTGGAGAGCATCGATGGGGTTGGTCTTTACCTCCACTGGGCCTGGAGAAGCCACAAGTTTTGCTTTGTCAGCTTTTATCGTATCCATCTAGGTTCATTTTAACCTGCACGATTTAAGCATCTGGGGGATAAGGGGAGCAAAGAACCTGTGGGTGGCTGAAGTTTGGCGAAAGCAGGATTTCCGAGCTTATTTTTGGCTCATCCAGGTACAGACTTTGAGGGAGGAGGAGGGCAAGGAGGATGCAGAAGGGGGAGAAAGAAGCTGTTTGATGTAGCACCCGGGATTATGGCAGCTTCAGTTTTGGGTGCATCCAGGCCAGGGTTGTCCATCCCTGTCCTCCTCCCTTGCCTTTTGTGGCCACGCTTTCACGGGACAGCATTTCTGTGTCTTGGGGCACCGGAGTTATTTTAAAAGAAAACAGCCCGCTTGTTTTCCAGCCCAAGCTGGCTTGGCCAAGCTCAGCCCCTCTAACCACAGTCTGGGCATTTATTTTTGTCCTCCAGACTTTCTGAGGCATTTCTTGGGGCTGCTTGTCTGGTTCTTGCTGGGAGTGATGGAACGGGATTAAAATAGAGAGGAGTCCCAGGCTCGGGCTCATTCCTTCACAAAATTCACAGTGAAAGCCAACGCAAGGCTCAGGACACCCGGGCAGGGTCTCAGTGCCAGAATATTTCTGTGCCTTGGAGGTGTGCACGGAGCAATTTGGGGTGGCTTTAACTTTGCCCTTGGGTCTGGCTTCAAAATATGGATTTGTTAAAATATTTAAGACTCTGTGTTTCCAGCTCCAGTTCAGGCTTCAGGGGCTGAACTTGGTTATAAAATGAAGAGTGGAGCCCTCTCCATCACCGCGCTGACTCCAGAACCCGGGGCTTTAATTGAAATATTAACCCTGCCGAGCGGTGCACCTGAATTTGGGGGTAAGCCACACTGATTCCTGTTCCCTTTGGCAACATCACTGTTACAGCAAAGCATCGGGCAGTCGAAGCCCAGATTTATTTTACAGCTCCTCGCTCCTCGCTGCAGCACCGAGTGCCCCCGAGTTGCGCCTGGAGCCAAGTGGCCGGCAGCTGGTAGGTGTGTGCCGCCTCGTCCTCCCCTCCGGGGCAGTGTTTGTGTGGTTTGCTCCCTGTTAATTTGAGAACGTGTTGTTTTGGCTTCCCGACGTGAGCAGAACGGCCTCTGCACGCGATGGGGAGGTCTGCGACGGCTCCTGGGGGAGTTCATCCCTGTCGCCAACGACCCCCCTGAGAAAGCTCTGCTAATGCACAGCTGAGCTCTGCCCCCTGCACAAACACCACCGGCTGAGCTTGTTACTGGTCTGCTCAGCTGGGCTGGAGCCCAACCACGGGGTTGCTTCAGAAATAAAGCCGGTGACCCCAAATCCCCAGGGGAAGAAGGCAGAGAGAGGGGAGGACAGGCGGGGATGGAGGACGTGAGCCGCAGCATCCTCACCCCCTGGGGTATCCGGATTGACAATGGCTTGGGCTTGCGGCTGTGCCGCAGCTGCAATTCAGCCCTGGGATGGCAAAAAGCCTGCTTGAGGGCAGGTCATCGTCTGGGCAGGGTGTTTGTCCACTCAGCATTGTCTGAACATCATGGGGTGCCGCCCTGGTGCCTGAGTCTGGTGTCAGGGGGAACTCAGGAGCCAGGTGATGTCCTGAAAGTGTCTCCTGTTTTCTTTTCTGGGCAGATGTTGAGCTTTGCTAAATGCTCAACCATAATCTTCAGTATTTGCGTTGTTCTGCATTAGCAGAGAACCCACAACAGCCCTGCAGCTTTGTCAAGGGCTGCTGAATGTCTTGAAACCACATCTGGGATTTCTTGGGCTGTGTAGCACCTAGGGAAGAAGACCAATGCTGTGGCCACCGCAGCCTTTTGAGGAGCCCTGGATAGGAGAGCAGAGGCTAAAGCTCACGTGCATGCCCCGTGGGATTCATCGTGTCTCTTCCAAGCTGGTTGTGCCACTCAGGAGCTCTGGAAGGAGCCTTTGGGAGGCAGGTTTGGGGCATCTCTTTGGGGTCTGAACTTCTGGGACCTCGCCCTCGCTTCAGGACTGCTCGTTATGCGTCTCCTCTTGCTCCTTTATAGCTCATCTTTGCAGAGCAATAATTCAAAGAGCATTATTATGGTCTGCTGACTGTTGCCTCCAGCATATTTCCTCCTGGAACTCGCAGCACAGCCCCGGTGCCATTATTTTTGAATGTCCTTTAAGCAGAGCTGTTCACACCTCTTGATTCAATTTGCCGAGAGTCTCTTAGCATTCCCATCGCTTATCTAAACATATCATATTTCAAGGTTTATTTTGTGGTCATAAAAATTTGCTGTTGGCATTCAAAATAAAACTCTTTGCTGGATCTTAGCCGAGTAACAAATGTGCTGGATTGGGTTAGGCTGGGGAAAAAAGGAGCTTTAGGAGTTTATGATAAATGGTGTCCAGACTGGAGAGCTCTAAGCCAGTCTCCCTGCTCTCAGACCAAGCACACCGAGCCTGCAGGGTTCTCCTGACCACCGTGGAGCTGGCAGAGGCCGTGCTGCAGCAGCCTGGAGCCTCTGAGAAGCCTCTAATGAAGACACTTGGGGTACTGATTGGAAACCGACCTCTGCTCAGCTCCAGAAAAAAGGGGATGCCAAAAGCAGGGGGATGCTGCCTGTGCTGGCCCTGAATGGATGCCATCTGCAGCATCCCGTGTGTGAGAGAATCCCCTTGGTGGGACAAGGAGCAATGGTTTTCAGCTAAAAGTGGGTAGGTTTAGGTTAGATATGAGGAAGAAATTCTTCCCTCAGAGGGTGGTGAGGCCCTGGCGCAGGCTGCCCCGAGGAGCTGTGGCTGCCCCATCCCTAGCAGTGCCCAAGGCCAGGCTGGATGGGGCTGGGGGCAGCCTGGGCTGGTGGGAGGGGTCTCTACCCATGGCAGGGGCTGAAATCAGATGGGCTGTGAGGTCCCTGCCAGCCCAAACCAGCCTGTGAGTCTGTGTTTTTATGATTTTGTTGTAAGGCACTGCACTGATGGGACAGGGTTGCACAGGGACTGAGTGGTGCTGGGGCCAGGGAGGCCACAAGTTGTCCCAGGCAAAGCTGCCCCTCTCCTGCCTCCTGGATGGCCACAAAAAGTGACCCCAAGCTGGTCTGGAAAGCCTCCAGCCTTTGAATAGAAAGGGGGTGATGACAGGAAAAGGGAAACATCGGGAGTGGGTCTGGTAGGAAAGGACCCAGCTGGGACACGTCATAGCCCCAGGTGCTGCCCTAAGGTAAGCTTTGCACAGGAGTCTTTTACACTGCTGCTTCCTTATGTGTTTTGTTGGAAAGGCAAGAAAATACGGCGCTCCTGGTGTCTGCATTTATCTCCTGAAGCCAATAAGTAACTGCTAGTAAGGGCATATTCTCTAGGAGAATGTGCAGTCTGATGGGGAGCCGACTCCTCAGGGCACCTGCGGAGTGCCTGTCCTCCCGTCTCCACTGAAAATATGTGGGATAAATGAGGAACAACATCCTGCAAGTGATCTTAAATTTACAGACATCTGGTTTGCAGAGGCACCAAGTACAGACCCTTGTTTCCAGT